CCCTCCATGTTAAAAAAGATTCCAACCCACAGAACACAAAAGGCTGGAGAACGCATTACCTTGGTCAGTACAAAATCACCATCACGACACACAAATCTGAGAGAAAAGCTTATTAGTTTGTCTTCTCTGTCAAAAAATACACGGCTACTTAGGTGCCCATCCAGACACGCCCATGCACTGTGCATCGCTGACGCCCTTACACTCACCAGGAAACCAAGGGATTCCTACGTACCTCACAAAGTCAGGGTAGCATTAGATCTTAAACCTAGTGTTCAGATTCCCTACTCTTCGTTTCTCCACCCCACATGCAGCCGCTAAACACGTAACCTGGTTGGCAGCTCAGCACGCTTTTGGGTACCTTACCCCTCGAGATCTCCTTTCTTTCAAACCTGCTCTCCCACAGCCCCCACCGAGGAGCTTGGCGAGGCAGCCATGCTTATGCCCCTTGGGGCTTCTCCCGGACACAGCTGAGGGGCCTGGGGTAGGACACCTGATGGAAGGCCTGCCGACTCACTGGCCAGCCAGGAACCACCCAGATTGAGATTCGAACCTCAGATTTTGAACTCCGAGAACTGGAAGCCATAGTGAGTGGGTGGCAGTTACCTCCACTGAAAAGCCCTGTGGTCTGGGCCTGACAGACCAGCAGCAGGTGAACAGGCTGCTGTTTTAAGTGGAGAAGGCAGGCTGCTCTGCAGGGAAAAGCTCCCGGGGCGCGGGGTGGGGTCTCTCCCTCTACTTGGTACACCCCAGAGCAAGACAGAGACAAGCAAGGCTGAGCTGGCTCGGACCACTCTTTGGTTCCCGGTTTCTGTGAGGCTGGAACCAACCTCAGGTTCGGTGAGATTTTTCTATAGCCTTTCAGGAGTCTCTTGAGCAAGTCTGAGTGGACTTCTGTCCTCTGCTCACTATTCAGTTGGGACTAAAACATTGATTTTGGAGGGGACTGAGATGTGTAAACGCCCCAAGGCTGAGTGTTCTCACCTGTACAATTTCTCACCTGGATGGACCAGTGGAGCTCAAAATTCCTTGCCAGCACAATGCTTTGTCTTAGTCCTATAGCTCTGTGCCTCCAAGGAAGTAGAAGAACTCCCAGCGTTCTCATGCTGGGGCCAGGAAAGAAACAAAGACTCCAAGAAGGAAAGCAGAGGCAGAAAAAGAATGAGCATCTGGTGACTCATAGCCCCATGTCCTCCCCGGGCCTCTAGTCCTCAGAAGAAGGAAGCAATCTTGGAAAGTTGGAGACAAGCTTTGCTCCACACAAAGAGACCAGAGTAGCTGGGATTCTGCCATCACTGTGCTGCCAGATGTCAGATCAGATTATACCTGCTTAAAGCTGAAGCCAATATAGTCTTTGAGGCCTAAGAATGTCCCACAAAGAGGGCATCTCAGGTACTGCTGTCTGTGGGAAAGGTGGAGGGGTTCCCAAGGCAAGAGGACAGTGGCTTGTCCAAACAACAAGCAAAGCTGTTCAATCTTTCTGCTAGATGTCCCCCTGTTCATGAGTGGAGAAAAGGAGGACTTTCTGGTTCAGCCCCAGGCCCACTGCTTGGTCAAAAAGGCTTTCCCTGAAGCCACTCAGGTCACACTTTGGGAGTCCATGACTTCTGTCCACCTACATTCACAGGACCAGGCTTGTCCTCAGTGTTGGGTACATATCAGATCCTCTCAGCTGTGGCCTGGCCCCAAGTTCAAAGGAATAATTAACAAGCCGAATTCCCACAATTTATGACCACCATGTTGGAAGGCGGGACACGGAGCCATCCTTCTACAACGGCTGTTCCACGGAGACCTGGGGTCATCTCCCCTAGCCTGCAGTGTCACCAACTCATGGTGACCCTACAGGGGATGAGTCCATTCTCGCTCTCCCCCTACGTCTTCTGTAGACGGCAGAGATCTCAGCTGCTGGACTCCAAGAAAATGACTTAACCGCTCAGCCTGCTACCTCAGCCACAAAATTTTTAAAGACCCTTCTACCGCGTGGGGTCGTTTCCTGATTCTAAAGAGACATAACTCGTGGCACCAGGTGTTTACAGTTGACCGACTCTGAGTTGCATTCTGGACACATCACTCTTTAGACCAATGAGATCACAGAGCCCTGGCACAACCACACCTTCAAACGGCTTGGAGGCTGTGGTCCCAGCCTGCAGAGCCCGAGGCTGGTGGACCCCTCTGTGGATCTTCTAGGGACTTCTGGCCTCCAAAGAAGGGACGCAGGCAGAGTCGCCACTCTCCGTGGGTAAGGCAAGGCCCTGGGGGGTGGGGATGGTGCCCCAACTATTGGGAGTGGAAATGCCTTAACACGCCCACCATGTCCCAAGGTCAGAGGCCTAACAATTGGGTCTTTGTTACAGAGTTCAAAAGCCTCACTCACCACTCCTTCCAAAGCCAGCTTACAGGATGCACAGCACACCTCCCCTCCCCCACCTCAGCCGTAGGGCTTCCATGAACTGCGAAACCACTGTCCCAGGGATCTGCAGTTTGGTCCTCCTGCTCTCTCCCCTCCACCCACTTAGTTTCTCTGGTTAAACTGGCGGTTCACCTCAGGCCCCCTGGTTTCTGCCAGCACCAGACGTGTGGGTTTGCAGGGCGGACAGAGCACTCCAGGGTCCCAGGGCAAACATCCGCTGCTGAGCAGCTCTGTCCACCAAAAGCAAAGATACAAAAGTTCTGGAGATGGAGAGACAACCTGTTCAGGGAGGCTCTCTCTACCTGACACCCAGGGTCCCAAAGAGGCTCCCAGCCATGGCAGTTCAGAAATGCAAAGAGGGCTTGTGAGGTCATCACTCCAACTCCTCTTTCTAAGCAGCCACCAAATTATCTCCATTGTACAGAAGGGTTAACTGAGGCCCAGAGGGATTAAGGGACTTGCAGCCACCCAGCTGGTAGGTGGTGGGCAGAGTCCTGCTTCCAGGGACAGTAGCTCTCTCAGAGGTCTGGTGTCAGACTGCGGAATCAGGCTGCTTGAGCCCCCCTCACACAGCCATGAGGGACTCCTCAGGAGCGGAGGGGTCTCTATGCTTTCTCCAGGCCCTCACTGTGTCAAGCCCCCCCCCCCCCCCCCCCCTCCCCAACTAGGCAAGGCTTCTAAGGAGCCCTAGGATCCTGGGTATGGGATAGGAAGGTAGAGGGAGTATGTCCCTGGGAATCAGAGGTTCTGAGCATGTTGACTTCCTTTTGTGTGGGGTCTTCTCCACCCTGGCCAGTGGCTTGTGCCCACAACCTTGGGGGCCAATAGCTGTGCGGTTGAAACAAGGCAAGGCAGGGAGCAGGAGGGTCTCTAATCCAGAACTCTACTTCTGAGCAGCCCTGACCTCATACAGAGAAGTGAGACCATTTCCCCTTGGAACAAGCTCCAAAATGTTTCTCTCTCTGCTGGCGCCTCCAAGTCCACCATCAGAGATCCTTTTCTTTGGGTCTGGAGGTGCTCAGGGTTTCCAGAGCCAGGCCCCTGTGACAACTCTAGCTTCCTGGGGGCAGGGGTAGGGGGTAGGCGGGGTGAGGGGTGGCGACAGGTAGGTAGGGCTGGTATGAGGACAAAGGCTGAAGGCAAAGGTGTGCAGGTAGGAGACCAGTGTGGGCACCTGGGGTGAAGGGCTCAGGCCTTAGGCTAGGGGTGTGGCTCTGCCGGGCAGGGACAGCCTCTGCCAACTACCCTGCCCATTACTCCGAGCACAAGGACAAAGCCTCACCTCTCTGAAAGGTCTGTGAAAACCCCAGACCCAGAAGGGCCAGGAGTCCAACCTAAGATGGCATCACAGCACTGTTCTCAGGGAGCACAGTTCCTGAGCCTCCTGCAGCAGGAGCCTGAGCTCACCTCCCCCAGGAGGTCTGCTGGGATTTCCTCAGCATCTCTACAGTGACTTGCTGCTCACAGGCATAGGAACTGGGGATCCAGGAATGTCCCTGTTCTGCTTTCGCCCCCAGAGGACTCACGTCTCCTCAGTCTGTCTGCGCCTCATTACTCTATCTGTAGTATGGGTACAATCATCCTTTGGTCTCCCTCCCTTCAGGGCTCATAATATTGGAAGGGAACAGAGTAGGACAGGAAAAGGAAAACAGGCCCCTCCCCTCTGGGAGTGTCCAAACACTGCCCAAAGAGGATCCTGCACAGGGGAGCTTCCCCTGTAGCTAACTGAAACCAAAACAAAACACCCCAGGAACCAATTCAAGCCCCAGCAGCATGCGGGCAAACTGCTGATGGCTGTCTCACACAGCTCACACTGACTGATTCAGGCCCTCCTCTCTCCACCTGCACAGATGCCAGCTGCACTTGTGGTCCCGGTGAGGACCGTGGAACTAGTAGCTCCTGGAGAACCATGGGCGGGGCCCCAGATGAGACAAAGCCTCAGCTCCCAATGATAGGGAGGCTGCCATAGGGCCCTCCGTGGCCCCCTTCTTCCAGTCTGGATCCTCCTCCCAGGTCCTGGTGGCCTTCAGCTCTGCAGGGGGCAGTCAGCTCACCAGACAGCCGCTAGCCAAACCCCACAGGCCTAGCCTTTCCTGAGACAGCCCGTGGGGCGGGGGTCAAGAACCGCGGCCCCCACAATGACGTCATGGCCGGCCTTCCCCACCAGATAGCTGGCTTCTCTGGCCCCTGCCGAGACCCTAGCTTGGAAGATGCCACCAACGGGGGAAGCCACTCGAAGGCGCCCCTGAGCCAGGAGCTACCTTCCCTGCGGCCTTGGTGGGCATGGGGACCGCCGAACAGGGGCCGGGCCGTTCTCCCGGCTTCTGTCGCCCTGGCCTTGCATGCCCATAAGCCGGTTCATTTCCCCGAGCCGGGGAGACATTCTTCTACCACCAGGCAAAGTGCTGGCCTGCGGCCCAAACCAACAGGGGAAACTTTGGCCTCCTCAGCCCTCTCCCCCACCAGATGGAAATAACGTACAGCTGCAGAGGTGGGGGAGGAGGGAGAGAACAAAACCAGCCAGACGTCCATCTGTCCGTTTGTCCCTCTGTCCTCCCATCCTGGGAGCCAGGCCGCCCATCTGGGTACTCACCGCTCTCGTTCTTCTCGATGACATCCACCACCTCCCCGGCCTGGAGGCTCAGCTCCGAGTTTTCCTGCTTCTTATAGTTGGACACCACCACGTACTGTTCCAGGATCATGGGCTCGGCGTTGGTGTCGGCACCTGGCGAGGGCAGAAAGCACGCGGTGAGCCAGCGGCCGGCCATGGCCCCGCGGCCGGGGCGCCCCCTGTCCATCGGGGGAGGCTGCTCCGTCGCCAGTGCCGCTCCGAGGGGCCGCCCGTGGCCAGGGCTCGCAGCTCGCTGGGCCCCAAAGACAGGCCATATAGCAAGGCCCCACACCGGCCCGCTGCGCCGCGGGGACCGGGGGACATGGGGAGCCGGGCTGGAGTGGGGGGGGGTACAGCTGGGGACAGGCGGAGGCCCCGGGAAACGGGAAACGGAGAGGAAGAGCCCGCCGCTGCGATGAGTCAGGCACAGCCCGGCACGAGCGAGCGGGAGGAGAGGCCTGGTGCGGACGTGGTCTCCCCAGACCCCTCGGCTGGCAGGGGCGGGACGGGAGGGCCGCCCATGAGGGCTGAGGCCGAGCAGAGGAGAGAAAGAAAGGCAAGGCAGGGAGGAGGGCTTGTGCCTCTCCCCCAGCCCCTGTGAACCCAGAGGAAAAGAGAGGCAGCGGTCCTCCCCTCGGGAGGGAGAGGGAGCAAGCAGGAGAGAAGTCTCCACAGCCCGGGCCCAGGCGAGAAGTCAAGAAGGTTTGAGACCGCCAATCACTGGGGTTTACTCGCAACCCTTAAATAGAAACACATGAGACCCATCGAATGAGGAGCCAGGGGTGGAGGCAGGGGAGGGGGAGGAGGGCTGAGACTGTTTACTTGAAACCCAAGAAGAAAGTCCCAGCGCCAGCAGCTAGCCGAGCCCAACCCGCCCCCCGCCAACTTTTCCTCAAGTTCGGCTCACCACGGCGCTGCCACTGACTGAGCCCAGGGGCCTGGTGCAGACACACGAGGCTGAGGCCAGCTTCACTCCAGCCTGGCTGCTGCCCTCTGGCCACATGGAGACTGATTCAGTCGCCCTCTACCTTTTAGTGCTGGATTTTGTGGTCAGGTTCTGGGAAGCCTCCAGCCGCCCCCCGCAGTTGAAGGGTCAAAAGGTGGGGCTCTGCAGAAGGAGGGCAGATGGGCTAGAGGCTCCCAGAGGTGGGGACAAACATCTAAAGCAGGGCATGTCCTGCTAGGAGCTGAAAGGAACCATAAACCAGAGACCTATTGGTCACCTCCTACAGGAAGCCTTCCCAGACCAGCCACAGCCCAAAGGGAATTCCCAGCACACTTTATGTGTCTACCACCCTATACATCTGTCAATCTCCTGGAAGGCTAGGGGATTCACACCACCTACATGGCTATAGAAATGGCTGAGAGGGTCCCTAGGCTCCCTACGGCTCCCTTGATGCTTTGGCCTACGGTAACATTCCTTACACACCTGAGTCTAACTCAGTACATGTTCTGTGTCAGACACGTAGCCTGTCCCGTTTTATCCTCACCACAACCCTTCTACCTTCCCATTTCACCAAAGACAACTCAGAGTCCCAGAGAAGGCAAGAGGCTTGCCTCAGCACACACAGCTGCTATGAAGAGAACCAAACTCACTGAGGGTTTTACGTTCAAGCCCATCTCTCTTTCCGTTAAAGAACTGCCTCTCTGATTTCTGTTTCCAGACACCCATTCTTCTAGCACAATGATCTTCTACTTGGCTCCACAGAATTGCCTGGGCGGGGGCGCTTTTAAAGAATACCGAGGCCTGGGTTCCACCCCCAGAGGTCCAGATTTAACTGGTTCGTATTTTTTGGACACTCCCTCCTCCCCCGTGGTTCCCAGGTGCAGCCAGGGGGCAGAGGCACTGCTTAGACCAGGGCAGGGAGCAAGGGAAGGAAAGAAACCCAGTGCCCCATGGTTTTCTCCCAAGATGTGGGGGCCCTGTAGCCCCAGCTCAGCCCTCTGGAGCCCCAGAAGGGACCCTGTCCCCACTGAGCCCTGCCACATGGATCTGCACACGCACAGCCCCAGGCAGCTCCACCAGAGCTGGGATCAGATTTCAGGCAGAAATGCAACCAACAGCTGGGCAGCGGGACCAGCCCACTCTGCGGGGAGGGGGCCAGGTCTGCGCCTGTCGCTGCCAGCCGGAGAGGGGCAGCGCTGGGCATGGAGCTGACAGCAACTGCCTCCCACTGTGCCCCTGGGGGGACGGCAGTGCCTCTGTGGCCAAGAGCCCCTCTTCAGTGAACCTAAGGCAAAAAGGCGCAGCCCCTGCACAGTGAGATACAGGGGCTCCCTTTATAGTTTGTGGGAAAGGCAAACTCAGGCTACAAACAAAAGCGGAGTTCCCAGTGAGTTAGAGAGCTTCCAAATCCCAAGAGCCCAGATGATTCCGACAATTAACAGCAGACCCTCCGGTGCTCACTGATGGATCAGCACGATGCCAAGCACTTGGCCACATCATTCTGTTGTCTCGTTGGATCCTCAAAATAACCCTACGTCATAGGTTCTGTTAGAGACCCATTTTTATACATAGGCAGAAGGAGGCTTATAAGGGTACGTTTTCCCAAGGTCACACAGCTGGGACTTAAACCCACACTCACCAGATGGGGGTTGCTTATGTTTTGAACTTCCCTACTATATGCCACCTGCAGAGAGCCACTGATCCCTGGCTCCCAGAGGGACCCTGCCTCACCCTCTCTGAAGGCCTTGGCCTTGTTTTCATTAAACTGGAGTGTGGGTTCCTTGTTGACTGGTGCTACGTCTGTCTGTTAAGCAGGACACCCATTAGGCAGCAGGCATTCAGCAAGTGTTTGCAAAATGAATGAATGAAATGAACAAACGGGCAGACAGATGAACGGAGTGATTTAGTGGTTTGCTTTGAGCCACTAGAGCTAAACCAGGCAGGGCCTCACCTCTGACATTCGGGAAAACTAGACAACTGTGGAAGGGGGAAAGGGGAGATGGGGAAACAGAGGCACAGAAGAGCAAGGAGTGCTGAGTTTGTGGCCAGGAGCTACTGGAGAGGACAAGCTGGGGTGCTGGGGAGTGGAGAGACCTTAGCTTATTTTAATCCAAGCCAAGGAAATCTGAGGCAAGATTTCAAAGAGGGGAAAAATCCCGCCCCCACCACGCTGGCCCTCCCAGCCCCTTGGAAAATTGGCCTAAGCGTTCTAAAGACTGACGTTTTGGGACCCAGGTAGAAAAGAGAATGTTCTCCAGGGATTCCAGAGCACGGAAGACAGGCGGTGGCACCTCTTGGAGGCTGCCCCAAGGCTGTGGGACAGACAGAGGGACACACAGACACTCTGCCCTCCTGGCTGCTCTCCCCTCCCCCAGCACAGGCAGACTCCCAGCTCCTTCTCTCTGGCATCTGCCTCTCAGGACATTGCCTGCCCAGGACTGCCCGGGCAGGCGTGAGCTGCGAGCAGGTATCCAGATGAGAAAGCACTCGGCAGGCGGGCCGGCGGGTGATGTCATCCCACAGAGGCTGCTCTGGATCCCCTCCCAGCCAAGGCCTGGAAAATTGGGGGCTGGAGGAGTCGGCCCAAAGTAGGAGGGAGGGGCAGGGCCATGGATGAATCCTCCAGCCTCTAGGCGGGAAGGGGCTGACAGAGGCACAGAGAAGGGCTATACCCCTTCTAGAGAGAAGAGGCCCTCCCAGGTTGGAAGGGGACTTTGTAACCGTCTTGTCCAGGGACGGGCCCCTTGTCACTCGGAGCCCCTGGCTGGATGGGCTCAGGCTCTGGCAGATACCTGGAGCCCTTCCCCACACCTGCATTCCTCCAACTACCACCTGGATAGACCCCTGGCTTCTGCCTGATTCTGCCTGCCAACCTAAACTTCTAAATGAGACTTTTGCCAAGTCAGTCCCTTGCTCCAACACCTTCAATGGGTCCCTGTTGCCTACAGAATAAAGGCCAAATTCAAGTTCAGTCTTTCTGACAACCTGAGTTCCCCGGTTCCCTGACACATAACCCCCCTGTTCCAGGCCACATTCATGCATCAACATACATACTGAGGGCACCATGTGCCCACCACGCTGTTCTATGTGGGTTCTTACCTCCAAGCCTTTGCCTTAGCTGTTCCCCCTGCCTGGAATGCCTTCCCTTCCTCCACCAACCCCAGTTCTCCCCAATCATCTCTGACCCTCCAGGACCTCCCTGATTTTACAAAAATCCAGCCATGGTGTTCACTCCTGGCCTCTGCTGGATATGTTTGTGGGGCGCTGGGCCCCAGTCAGCCATGTGGTTTAGACAAGAGTCTCCCTGATGAGAGTTGCCCCAGGCCTGGTGCCATAGGACAGGGCACTGGCCTTAGTTGCCTGAGATGATGCAAAAGCAGAAGATTCAACTCTGAGGGTCTGAGGGTCCAGTCCTGCTTTGCTCAGACTAGCTCTGTGACCCTGGGAGGGACATTCAACCTCTCTGAGCTCCACTTTCCTTGTTTGTCAACAGGTACAGTACCAGTACCTACCCTCTGTGGGTTGTTCTGTGCATGGAACTAGGTGACAGGGTTAATGCCCTATGTAAACTATAGATACTATTTATAAAGCAAACAGGAAATGGGAGATTTGGGGAGGAGCAGGAGGGGTTCAAGTTCCCCTGCAGCCTCAGAACCAGCAGGCAGCTCAAGGCAAGGGCCACAGGCGCCAGGAAAAGGGTGGCTATGGCTCTGTCCCCAGAACAGGGCTCCCTCTAACTGCACCTCCTGGCTGGCAGGGGATCCTTGCCAGCTGGAGAGCCAGATCAGAGCACCCTGGGCCCACTCCGGTGGGGGAGGCCAGGCTGAGCAGCCCCAGGACTCTCATCTTCAAGGATCCCCCCACATCAGCCCCTTACCTCTGAGTTTCCCGTCTCATGCACTCTCTGACATTCCAGATGGGGAAACCAAGGCCCAGAGCAAGCTGGCGGCTTGCCCAAGACTCCAGCCCTGAACTCCTAGTCTGGCTGGTTTTCCCCAGCCCACACTGCTTCCCCTCAGCTTCTCACTCCAAACAGCTGGGCTCATCCTAAGAAGCCAAGCCCTGTGGTGGCCCCCACCCTAGGCTCCCCATGTTTGAGAATGGGGAGGGATCCCCCAAACCCTGGCACCCCACAAAAGGTCCCTCCACGCCCCTCACAATCAGTTCCTCCCAGGCTGGACTTGGCCTGCCGGCTTCTCTATAGGCCCCTGGGCGGCCAGGCTATACGTTCCGTGAATAAAATGTATTGTTGTAGGCCAAATGGGCTCTGGCTCGCTGGCTCGTAGAGAGGGGAAAGAGGGACAGGAGCCCAATGATTAGTCAGGCCCCGGGCCCTTGTCACAGACAGTACCAGGAGGACTGCAAAAAGCCTGGGACAGGCAAGGGGTCCTCCTGCCTGCTGCCTTTCTCCTCCCAGGACGTGGGCCTCCCATTCCCTGTCCACAGCTGTGGTGGGGAGGTGCTGAGCCTCAGGCTGACTGCTGGGGCCAGCCCAGCCCCTCTGACCTCTGACCCTTCTGCCTCAGGCCCCCAACCACGAAGCCTGAATCTCTGCTCCCAGCTTTGGGCAGAATGGGTGTTTGTTGGTGTGTGTGTGTGTGTGTGTGTGTGTGTGTGTGTGTACGTGCATGCGCATATGCCTGCGTTAGCACTCTTAGAAATGGAGGGGCTCCTGGAAGCCCCTTCTGGAAATCCCACTCCTCTGTGGGCCACTATCTCCCTGCAGCAGCTGAGAACCCTGCTGTTTAGGGCTCACCACCACTGTCCTGTAAGACCAGAGGCTGAAGGAAAGCCTCTGACCCCTGGCCCAGCTCTGCCTGGACACAAGGCACAGGCCTGAGTCCCTGAGGCCCATCCTGGTCCAGGCAGCCCAAAGCCTGGCCAGGCCAATGAGGCAGAGGCTGCTCCAGGCTCTGGGGCACGGAGGCTGCAACACCAGTCCCAGGTTTTCCCTGCCCTGCTGCAGCACCCCGGTGAGGACCACTGGAAACCAGGCTGCAGGGTCTGAGGCTTCAGCTCTCTGCCCCACGTTAACTGCCCGAAGTGAGACTGACCGTCTCTGGTGGGCCCTCCCCAGCGGACGGCCAGCGGAGCGAGCATACAAGGCAACAGTCCCCTTTCCATCACCTGAGTGCTTCCCGCATGCCAGGCTCCCTGGGAGGCGGCCGAGCCCTGCTCAGGGAGGTCAAGTTCACTCAGCCAGCACCCGGCAGAGCCGGGGGACCAACCCACATACTCCGGTCCACAGTGTATTTGTCTACACACGGTGCTCTGTGGCCATCACCCACTGAAGGCTCCGAGCCTGGACCTGAGGCCTAGAGAGGGTTGAAAGGAGGGCAGTGAGTACAGCTAAGGGAAGGGCAGGAGGGGGCCCAGTGGACGGCTGGCCTGCCGACCAGGGGCCGCGGCCCATCCCAGGGAAGCATGCGGCCAGCGGCGCCCACACGTGCGTGCCCGGGGCACACATGCTCGCACACACGCACTCAGGGCAGTACCTGTCACGTCCTTCCTGGGAGACTCAGCCCAGCTGGAGAGCCACACTTCCGAGTCCCCCACGGGAGCAAGCAGCAGCAAGAGAGAGAGGAGAAGCAGAGGAGGAGAGAGAACCGTTAGGCAGGCAGGAGGTCTACTGGGCAAGTGGCCGCAGGCGCCGCTTTGGGCCACGGCGGAAGGCGGGGGAGGGGAGGGGAGCGATTTCCTGGCCTGGGGCTGGCTGCTGGGCGTGGGCCTGAGTGATTACAGAGGCGCTGGGACCCGGCTGGGATGGGGATAATGAGGTGTCTGTCGAAATGCAGGAATCCTCTGGAGCACAGAGAAGCCTACACAATCCCTGCCTGGAACAGGGCCCATGGCTTATCACTGCTGGAGAAAGCAGCCTGGACCTTTCTCTCTGGCCGTGTGGGTGGGTGGCTGTCCCCACAGGGCCCGGTGGCTCTGAGGAACCTCACCAGGCCAGCAGGCTCAGCAGCACGGACCTGGAACCTCAAACATTCAGAGATGGAGAGCCCAGGGCCGGTCTCCGGTCGTGAGGCACCTCACCGCTGGGCTCTGATGGCTTGACCAGCCCTAGCCCCAGCCCTTACCCAGTGAGGAAGACAGTTCGGGGCAGAATGGAAGAGAGCCTCATTCTGGACTCTCTAAAACACCTCGTCTCCAACCCAGGAGGACAGGGACCTTTAGTGACCATCAGAGATGAGGGCTCTGTCCCAGGCTCAGACAACTACGTCTGATCTGGGCTTCTGTTTGCTCATCTGTGAAATGAGGTTAGAAGTGATCCTCCTGCCAAGAGGGAGGAGCAAAGTCAAAGAACCTAAAAGAACACATGACGGTGTGATGTGATACAGTAAAGTGATGAGGCAGAAAGCTCTCGGCTCAATCAGTGGGGGGGAACAGTTCTAGAATATCGGAGGGCCAACATGTAATAAGCATGGACAGTCTACCTCCAGGATTCCGACTCATTTACTGCCTATAACAATCCCTTGAGGTGGGTCTGCATTTTTCACCCCATTTTATGGGAGAGGAAACCGGCCCAAGTTCCCACAAGCCCAGAGCAGTGGGGCCAGAAACGGAACCAGGTCTGGGATCAGAAAGGCGGGTGGGTGCTTTCTCTGCTGAATTTCTCATTGCCTCCAAAGATCACAGCGTTGGCTGCAGCTGCAGCAGGGACAAAACATTGAGCTGCAAGCCTGAGAGGCACCCAGTGCTGGTCAGGAAGGCTGCCTGACCCAACGACACACAGTAAAGACAACCGTAACGGCAGCAAAATTTTACGTAGCATTTACTGTACCCCAAGCCTCATGCTGAACACATACATATGGTAATTCATTTGCTTTTCAGAATAAACCTACAACAACAAGGTACTCCCTCCACTTCATAGATGAGGAAAACAAACCAGAGAGGTTAAGTCATTTGCCCAAGGTTACACAGCTAGTACCATGTCCATCTCATGTGGGGACACAGACTTTGGGAGATCACTGGATGCCACCCACCCTTTAAAGCACCTGATTCTCCCTTGCTCAAGCCATCTACCAGTTCAGGCTGGCTCCCCACACAGAACCAAGAAGCCCGGGCCTTCCAGCTCTCCCTGGAACTAGCGGAGAGCAGATCTGGTAGAGGGGTTTAGCAAGGCCTCTGGAGTCTGTGCGGATTCTCCTCTATGACAGACTTACTGAACCTCCCTGAGCCTGTTTCCTCTCTTGTAAAAATGAGATGAGACAATAGACTACTTCCTAGGTAACTACGAGGATTAACAAGATAAGAGGCAGTACGTGCCCAGCACCAGGAAAATCAGCCTCCTAGAGCTGCAAGGCTGACACCCAGACAGTGTTTGATAGTGAGTGTGCCAAGAAAACGCTGGTAGCCGGTCACAGATGCCTTCCCGTAGACACCCTCCAAACGCCAGGTTAGCTGCAACTGGGGGTAAGAGACCCTGGAGACTGCATCCAGAAATAGGACTTGCAGCCAGAAGCCTCCATGGGCTTCAGGAGCCATGCTGACCTGGCTTCCATGCCCTGGCAGAGCTGAGAGTAGGTGGACACACCTAGGCCCTCTGAGGCTTGAGGCTGGGGCTATAACTCCCTGCTGCTGTACCCCAAATGTGGCCAAGTAGGCTGTCACCCAGCAAGGCCATCCTAGGCACCCTAGTGCCAGACCCACCCCAGCTCCAGCATCCAGCCCCACTCAGCCCCATGCCGCCCCAGCTCAGAGGGTATCTCCAGCTGTCTCTGCCGGCTTTGTTACTTTGTACCACTTCCATTTTGGTTTCTTTTGGGTTCTTCAGAAGGAAAACTTTTGGGAAATACTAACTTCTTTCAGCGAGCCAAGGGAAATGATTTGGCTCAGGCCTGGAGAACCGAGGAAGACTTACTTTTCTGTTGGAACAAGGGTTAACAAACTTTCCCTGAAAAGGGCCAGAGTAGGTCTTTTAAGCTCTGGGGGCCATGTGGTCTCTGTCAAGACTACTTACCTTTGCTGTTATGGTACAAAAGCAGCCCCTGACAATCTGCAGAAGGCTGAGTGGGCTGTGTGCCAATAAAACTTTATTTATAAAACTACATGGTGGGCTGGGCTTGGCCCATGAGCTGTGGTTTGCCAACACCCATGCTAGAAGATGAGGGCTGTCAGAGAGGGGGAGCTGCTGTCTTCCTCAATGGAGGGGTACCCCCAAGTCGTAGGAGAGAGAAGTGGGGACCCTTGGCCCACCAAGACTAAATGCTTACAAGGTCTATGCTCCTGGGATGACTTTCTCAATAATTATCTTGAAGGGCCTGATGCCCTTCCAGGTCCTTGGGGTCTGGGCATTTGGGCAGGCAGAGGGCGGGGAGCAGGACAGGAAAAAATCCCTCAGCCTCTGGAAACTGAGCCCCACGGCTAAGTGTGGAACAACCCAAGCTCATGCCCACCCCCTGCACCCATGCAACCCCCATAAGCAGGCCTCCCTTTGCTCTCCAAAGGAAAATGGGAAGTGGACCAGAAATGGGCCTGTCTTTTTAAAAACATGATTTATTTCCCAGTCCCCTGGATCTGCAGAATTAATCCAGTCCCGCTGCTCCCACCCCAAACCTCTCCCCACTTTGGAGTGCCTTGTCTCCAGCCCACCCGAGCAAGCCCTCTCCCAGGGTGGGAAGGACACCTCCCCACCCCCACCCAGGCCTCCTTACAATGAACAGAGGAGGACCCTGGCTCACAGACCCGGCCCTCCAGCCAGGAGGCAGACAAGGCTGCTGGCGGCGGGCTGGGAAAGCAGAGACGGAGGGACAGGACGAGGGAGCAGGGTGCAGGCACAGCCAAGGGAGCAGCTGTGACCGACACAAACCAACCGCTTCCTGCCTTCCAGCTGTCTCTCCGGCCTCTCCTGGTGACAGAACCAAGGGCCCTACAGAGCAGGGGCAGTGGAAAAACCAGGGGCTCCAGACTGGGAATCTGCGCGACTGGTTTTGCTGACCACCCGCTCTGTGACCTGGGGCAAGGGGCTCAGCTTCTCTGAGCCTCAAGTCTCACTTCTGTCAAATCAAGCATTTGGGCCTAGCAGCAGCCAAGGTCCTCGGGTGACGTTCTAGGCTCTCCCAGCAGAAACCTGCTAGTCTGCAAAATTACAAGTGCTCCACAGCTGACATGAATCTTTCCAGAAAACTAGAGTACCTTTCCAGGGAAACCCACTTAAACACATGCTCAATATATGGAAACTCAAGTGGAAAAAAAAAAAAAGCCAATTAATTCAAGAGGCATAGAGTGCAGAGAACTGAGGCAAGAATTCTTTAAAATCTTCCTTCTTATATTTATCCTGCCACTCAGCTCCCTGGTCTGGGGCTTTTAGCCATTTCTCTGGGCCTCTTTTCCTTCCATACAATGGGGATAAAAATACTTACCTCATCTTCTTTGTAAGGTTGTTTTGAGAGTGTAGTGGCCTGTAGTGCCTGTGAAAGGTTTTGTAGGGGGAGGCAGGAGGCCCCTGGGACAAAGGGAGGGAGTGGGTGAGGGGGACAAGCTGGGGACTGCAGCAGCGTGGGCTGTGGGCTGGGAGGCAGGAGGCGGGGAGACGAGGCCCCTCCCATGGTCCACCCCCAGCCCTCCTATCCCTCCCACAGCCTGTGCTCCCATTTTGCAAAATCAGCCAGAATCCAGGCCCTGAGGAAGCCAGGTGCCTGCAGGTCCTGGCCAAATATGGTGACCCAAGGCCACTTCTTAGATGCTGAACTTGCTTCTTGTCTGGTCCAGGTGATTCGAGAAATCACGTAATGGTCACACAGGTGCCCCTGACTGTAAGGAACCCCCAGACAAGAGACACCTAAGTACTACATAAAAACACACCTGGATAGAGCGAAGGTAGCAAAAGGATTGGGTCCTAATACAGTTCCTTTTAAACTTGACTAAGTCCAAAGCAGTGAGAAGTGGGTTTAATTTGCCCAAATCTAGTCTCAAACCACGTTTCCAGGAATCCTTCCCTAGTGTAAAGCAAGTCCCACCCATTCAAACTAATAAATCCAGAGTGGGCTGTGAGCCCAGGTGGGAGAGACAGGAGAACTGCCAGCGGCATGATCTCCTTCAAGAAGGAAAGCCAAGCCAGAGCTCAAGGGACCGGGGCAAGGTCACTCACCTCCCCGGCCTCCATAGCCCAAGCCCGGCAGGGGGGGGGGGCTCCTGGGAGGGGAGGAGAAGCAGGGACCCTGCCAGGGGCCCTGAATGGAATGAACACCCTGTCTTTTCCTCGTCCTTCCATTCTTCCAGCTCTCCGGGGCCTTGAGCCCTCAAGACCTCCCCCTCCTAGGGAATTCTATTGTCCTTCCTTCACTGTAGCCCTGAACAGGGTTCTCCAGAAAGCCTAGTCTTTCCTCCCCTTTTATACAACTAAACTTCACACAGGGCTGAATTTCTTGGGTTTCCTGTAAGCTCCATTTCTTTTCCTTGATTGACTAAGCTGCAGGGAAACACAGCCTCTGCTCTCAAGCCAAACCAGGGGCTGAAAGCTGCTAGCTGTGCCACTTACCGGAAGGAGAAGGAGCCACTTAATTTGCCAGGAGGGGCACAGAGCTCCTGTCGC